TTTTAGCACCTTCCGGTACCTAATGGGGCTACAAGAGAGCTGGAGAGGGAACTTTTTACAGTCATGCAGTGATAGGGCAAGAGGGAATGGTAACTGTTTTATAATGGTAGTGCTGGGCAAGGTGCATGAATAAAAAATAGAGAAACTGAAAATTCCTTAAAAATTAATTTGCGATGCTTTGATCCTTGCATGGTACGTAGGGAGGGTGGGCATTTGGGATGGCATGGCTTTCAGCAGCAGTTTGCACAAGGGCAGGAGAAAGCAGTGCTTGCACAGTGGGCTTCTTTCAGGTATATTGGGTTGTTTGAATTGAGGGTCCATTATCTTCTCTAAAATTTTTAATTACTGCTGTGGCTGTTTGGTCATTTTCTCTGCTAGTCTTGGGTTTGTTAGAGAGCAGTTCATGGAGTAGAAATGCATTCAGATGAGATCTGTGGCATCCTTGATAGCTGGAACTGGACTGTATGACCCTGTGCTCCTAAGAATGCTGTTCCCTCCTGGCCCAAACTGCCCCTCTACTACCAGAGAGCTTGTGGTGTTACTCACCTCGTTTTCCATTTGAAACACATCTACCTGTGTTCCAATTTCCCTTCATCCATAAAAGCCCAAGGAGCAGAGAGATGGCTTACTCCTCCATGCACTAGCCTAGCCAAGCAACTTCTTCTGCATATTCCCAGGGGTTTTGTTCTGGGATTGTTTCTCCTCCCCCACTCCTGTTTTCAGTGCCCTGCATCTGCATTTAACTAGTTCTAGCCCTAAATATCTATTCTGTGTCCTGTCACTGCCTGGAGCAGATGCAGCACAAACGATTGACCCTCTCCCTTTGGCAATTTGGCTTTGACTGCACAAAACATCCAATAAAGTGGAAAGGGCTGGGCAGCTGATTATGGGGATTGGCTCGAAGCTGTATAGTTTTATGGTCTAAGATAGAGGAGGAAGTGTTTGCTTGAAGAATGCAATTGCATTCCTCTTTCTTTCTCTTCCTGCCTGCTCTTGAGGATGACAAGTTTTCAGAAGTTGCAGGCTAAAAGAGTAGTATGTGTATTTGTCAGACATAGCTCTTGGACTGGAGGCTGTTAGCTCATTTTCCAGTGGCTGATGCTGGAATGTGTAGCTATGCAGGTCATGATCTGATCTGTCTAGAAATTGTATGAAAAGACTTGACTGAAGCCTATGTTGAGATTCTTTCTCAGACAAGGCTTGTTCTCACTAGTTTGCTCAATCTCTTGTTATGCTTTGTGGTACATATATTATACTTCTAATAAAAAGCATCTTGTTGCTCACTTCTGCTGATGTTGTCATTCTCATCTGTATAGTAATTGTTCCTCATGGCAGTTGTTTCCCTCAGGGCCCATGCATTGTAGAGTCCCAATAACTCTCTCCTCCCCTCTGTTCTTCCCACACAAAGTGTGCAGTTGTCTGGGCTTTTCCTGTGCTTTTCCTGAGGTGTTTCTGCAGCTATAATGGCATCTTTAATAATAATCTTCCACTATTCTGATTGCTTCTTCAGCTTCTCCTTCCCATCTTCTCCACAATGCCATGTCAGCCCCAGAACACAACATAGTGTCCAGGTGGACATATCCAAAAGATATTATTTGGAAGTTTGATTTTTTTTTTTGACCTGTGTGTGTAGGATGACACAAACTGAGGAGTTTGATAAGACAGCTTTTATGTAGTAGATTGTCCATACTACTAATAAAGATTATACAAAACCATGTCTGCTTTAATATGGTTCATGACTCACAGAATGTGGTTTTTAAGCCATCTTCATTCTGTGGGGGATTGTTGGGGGACTTTTGTGCTTTTTTCATTTGTGGGGTTTTTTTTGGGGGGGGAGGAAGTGTTTCTTTTTTGGTTGGTTTGTTGGTTTTGTTTGGTTGATTTGGCTTTTTTTTAATCTCACTCTCCTCCCACACAAATATTTCTCCAGCACTCTGAAATAGCTCCTGAGGACCAGGCTTTTTTGGGCCTGGAGACCCTTCTCAGTCTGCTTGCTGAAGCTGACCTGTTTGTTCCGCAATAATTGTATTTTCATCAAGAGAAAGCAATAGATCTGATGGGTATGTAGCTGTCATTGGCCTGTGATATATGAGACCTAGTTTCTAGCTCTGGCTCCAGTGAACTCTTGTACATTTTTTTTATTAGTCAGTGACTGGATGAAGCACATAAACAGGGATGCCAGTCTGAGTATTCTCTCTCCCAAGTGAGTTTGTATTGAAGTGACTATTCTCACTTAACACTGGTGATTTATTCAATTTGCTTCAAACTGCCACAGACTCAAGCAATAAGTTCTGAATCGGGTCAATTTAGACACAACAGCAAAGTGTAAAAATAATACAAGCTAACATTGTACTCTGGAGGGCAGTCTTGGAAAAAAATACCAGCTCCTGGAAATGCTGTGATCCAGTCTGATTCAGCTCCTCATGTCAACACAGCAGCATTGCAAGCATGCTTCTTGTTTTGGCTCTTGTAAATCTTGGATGTGGTCTGTCTGTCCCAGAGTTATTGTGCCTCTAGATTTAAAATCCTTTTCTTGACAGCTGAAAATAATCAGCAAACCTATGCTGACATCAAAAATGAGGCAGCTTTTAGCACTGGAAGTCTTTTTAGGTGAGAAAAAGTTTTTCCCAGTTGCACTGTGCTCTGCCAAACATGTTTTTTCCAGACACCGTTTTTCTAACCATGTGTTTAAATGAGAACTTCCTTGGTATTGACTATTTCCTTTTTGGCATGCAAGGCTATTTACCTAGGCTTATAAATAGAAGTGCTGGAAGGCTCCTGTTTTTGTGAATGTTGGCCACGGGTAGTTTTTCAAAATGGTGGGACATCCTGATTGAAACAATAGAACAGTAGTTGTAGTTTAGTAATGGATAAACACAGTGAGAGAGAAAAATATTCTCTGTAAATGCTTGGAAATGGTCTAGTGGAATATTTTATGTTTAAATCAGGATGAACTGCACTTGTACTATTTCAGTGAACTTTCGGAGGACAGTACATGGATTTAGATCTCAAAATGCCAGTTTTCTAGCCCAACATCTCAGTAAACTCTCCTGGGAGCCTCAAAGCTGACGCAGCCAGGGCTCACAGCTTCCTGCCTCTCCTGCCATCCTCTGAGCTGACCATTTTGAATTTTGAAATTTCCTGACCCTGAGAACATCACCACACTGTGTCCCAGTGATCTTGGCAATACTGCTATATGCTTTATGTTTAATGTCCAGTGGCTTGCTGCTTAAAGCAGCTGCAAAACCAACTGAATTCTTAGGAATTTCCTAGTTGAAGCTGATCAGTGGTGGGTAGCAGCATTGTAATCTCAGCATTTTTCAAGATTTCCTGCATCCTCATGCAGTGATCCTGGAGTGATCACTTTCTTTGGAAATGCTACACTGCAGCTGGAAAGCATTCAGGTTGTAAAAATTTTGGGTTCCAAATCTCTTCCCAGGTTAAGAGAAGTAATTTCTAGAAAAAGCTCTCTGCCTTATTCTGATGTGTCCAGTCTGGCCACAGATGGAAGAAAGGTATCAGACTTTATGAACCACTGGACCTAAACCGGTGCTGTCCTTAGTCTGGAAAGGATCTAAACCTTTAACTTGCACTTCATACCAAGCAGGCCCAAGGCTAATGTGAGAACGTGTGGCAGTAAGGACAAGCAGCATAGGCATTCGGAGCATTTTTGAGCCTGCCAAGTATTGATTGGTAAGGGGAGGGAATGAGTGGAGAAGCATTTCAATTTGGCACCCATATGTGATTCTGATGCTGTCACAGTGAATTAGCAGCACTTTCTTTTCCCTTTAGTCCATCTCATGCTTTTGTCATTGAAGTATCCCCTTTGCCCACATCAACTTGCGAAAAGACAAAGTGGAAAAAACCTGAAATGAATTCCAAGAACTTCTGCCCCAAAAAAGCCTGGTTATGTTATGCTAGTATCCTCTGAATGGAGACTCTGAACAGTACTAATGACTGTCACAGCATAAATGTTATAGAGGATTCAAGCTACAATTACTCATTTTGTACAGTCACTTAATCCACTAATAGGGAGAAATGGGACAACAGTTTAAGAAGGCAAGAGAACTGTCAGAGACTATTAAATCTGTTGGGATCATTTGGTTGGATAGTCTGTCTTGACCCAAGTACATGCTTCAGCTAATGCAACAGACTTAATGCCTCTGGTAATTAGAGCAAGAAGAGATGGGTCATCATTAGCAACTACAAATTCAGAGTTGTATTTCATCTGGAAGGCAGCATCTTCAACAGGGCTTATTTGTTGCCACTGCAGATCATCTGTGAGTCACAAGTGGTACATTGGACTGACTCATTTGTGTGATTTAGCAGAGGCTTTTTAAAACATGCTCACTGTTCCGTATGAATAGTTCTTCTAAATAGTTGCCAAACAGAAAAAGGCACAATGTTGGACTTCCCCATGCAGTTAATACTACTGCTCTTATTTACAAGATGTTGGTGATTTTTTTTTTATTGTTGAGCAGTTCACAGTTCAGGTTACTTTTGATTGTAGGTTTGAAACATATTTGTCATGTCTGTGAAACTGAAGAGTGAAGAAAGGAAAGCCAAGCAAGCATGGAAAGCATCAGTAATTGGCAGCTGCAGAAGATACAAGAGCCAATCTGATACCATTCAAGGCATATATTCACAGAATACTTTTACATGGGTTTCACAGATCCGCAGTCATATTCAGTTCTGGTTATTGCCAACAGTATGAATGAAAATGATATATCATAGATTCAGTGTTTTTGCAGATACTTGGAAATCTCTAGATCCTCTTAAAAGAATACTGATAAGTAAATGAAGATGGAGGTACAAAGGAAATTACCCACAATCTGAATTCCATTACAAGGTACTATGAAGTAGGAACTGAGATATAATACAAATGGGGGGTGTATTATATATATGTAATATATATCTGAATAATTTCAGATCTTATGCAGACACAAGAAGACCAAAGTATTGAAGTGTGGCTTGAAAATGCTTCAGAGAAGCTGGATAAATCAATGGATGCTCATCAAGCAGCATTTGGGAGAACTGTCTGTGGTCAGCTAGCTATGTAAGTGATGCTGATAACCTCCTGAGGGACACCAAAGAGAGAAGGAAGGTTGCAGTGCTTCAGCAAGAGCTATCTGAAGAAACTACCTCTGAGAAGTATGCTCTGACCCCAATGAGGGCTTAAGGCTCTTTCAATAATCAAGAGAAAATAGAGGAATTCAGAAGTGTCAGAAAGGTAGCCATTCTCAGTCTGGGTGGGAATCTCCTTAGAAACAAATACACTTGGGAAGTGTAATTTGCCAGATCAACAAAGCTCAAAAGCTCGTGACAGGGCTCATATCCATGATAATTGATGGATTGGATTGTGAACTAACTACAACTGAAGAGACCTTTTCTGGTTTTGTCTTCAGGTGGTTGCCTAGTCTCAGTGGGGTGTGTTGTATCTCTGTGAAGCTGTTATGAGCTTTTCATAAAATCATAGAGTAGGTAAGGTTGGAAGGGCCCTCAGTGGGTCATCTGGTCCAACTTCCTTGCTCAAGCATCATCCTACATACATCACATGGCACAGGATTGCATCCAGATAATTCTTGAATTCATCTGCAGTGAGGGAACTCCACAGCCTCTCTGGTCAGTCTGTTCCAGTGCTTGGTCACCTGCACAGTAAAGAAGTTGTTCCTCATATTCAAGTAGGACTTCCTGTGCATCAGTTTCTAATTGTTGTCTCTTGTCCTATTGCTTGGCACCACCAAGAAGAGCCTGGATCCAGCCTCTTGACACCTTCCTTCTTCTGTACTTCTCAAAGAGTAAGGAATAAGAAATAGTCTTCTTTCACTCCCTCTTGCTGGTGCACCTGGGGAATTAAGTTATTGTAGGCTCAGAGGAAATGTTTTTCTCAGGAGATTGTGTTTATCAGCCTTTGGAGCTTATGTCCTTCTTAGGTTTTCTCCATTTTAGTCTTGCTTTCCTATACAAGCACTGTCTTGAAAGATGCTTCCTGCTTGAGAAGGACCAATCTGTTAAAGGTTTCTCTGTAACAACACTGCATCAGCTCAGCAAATGTCACTGGAGGAGCCTGGATTATTCCTACTTTGTGTCTACATCCTCTTTTATCTCGGCAGATGTTCCTATTTCTGCACTCTCCTTTCTCTGTGCTCTCTCCTTCTGATGCAGGTTTTTCCCACAGTAATATTCCCTCCTCACACATGGCCATCTGCCTCTTCTTTTCTGCTGTGTTCTGTGTTATTTGGTCCTCATGTAACAAATGTGAGTTCTTGTGATGTCTGTTTTCCTCAGTGAGGTCAAGACTTGCTGCTGTCTCCCATAGCACTCTTAACTTGTATTTGGCTGGTGGTGTAAGGGCCTTTATCTGTTGTATATTTTCTGTCAGCCAAATGGCAGCAATCCAATGCTTTAAGTAGCATATGTGTTACTTATGGAATGGAAATAATGAATGGATTATAATAGTAATAGGGTGGAAATAATGTGTGGATTTCCACAGGCACTCGGTGCAAGTTGTCCATTTCCTATGATCTCGTGCATCCAGTTCTTATAAATGTTCTTCTCCTTCTTCTTTCTTTGGATTCATTGAAGTCCAAGGAAATTATGAAGCAGCAAATTCTTACAGCTCTGGAGCAAGGAGTTCTGAGAGTTAAGAAAAGGCTGTATTTAATGTTACATTTGACATTGGGTTTCTTGTTGCTTTTTTCTCTCCCAGCTCCCCTTGCACCTCAACAGTGATGATGAGAGTTATTTATTCTTTTCAGATGGCAGGAGCAGGCAAGAACTGTTGCTCAGCTCCTTGGACTTCAGCATAAACTTGAACTTAAATATGCTTGAACTTCAAACAAAAGCACAGTCCTTGTCCAAGGCTTTATCACCTTCCCTCAGTATGAGGAGGGGAAATTGGGGATATCCAGACCCTCTTGGAGAAATTTTTGCCCATAGAGAAGGATTATAAACATAAGGCGAATTATTGTATAAAAGAAAAATTACCAAAACTACTTTACCTCTCTTTACCAGCACCCATGGCTCTGGACAGCTGTCATGAGGAGAGTCCTTACAGGTGCAAGAAAGAGAGACCCTTAATCTCTCCTTGCTTCAAAATACATACCTGAGGTTCTGGGTATTAAAGTAATGCATGGTATTGGGAACATTGAGGAAGTTGTCTGCTGTATGTGCAGCTGGCTGTCTAAGGGGCACACTTTTAATGGAATCTGACTGTTTAAAAGGCTAATTCTCCTCCCTTGCACAATCTACTTGGACTTAATTTCATCCAACCTACCTTACAAGTCCTTCCCAACCTATTGTTCCACCCACCTTCCTTCAGACCATGCCTTTTGTCCGGCTTCCCAAGCAGAGCTCTCATACAGTGTAAGCCCCTCAGGTGAAAGATAGCCAGTAAGCCTTGAAGTGAGTAAGGTCATGGTATGGGTAACTAAGAAAATCGTTTTCGGTGCTCAGCTCTCATGGGAGCTGGTGTGGGAAGTAAATGCCTACATGTCTTTGTGAAGGAGTCCTCAAGTCCCTCAGCAAAAAGACGAAGGCAGATGCCTGGCAGGCACAGAGAAAGGTTTGTTTTGTAGGTTCTGGGGAAGCAGATGTCCTGCAGGTATTGGTGCTCCTTTAATGCACTTAGTATTTGACTGTTAATAAGGAACATCATGAAGGATAACTAGCAAAAACAGTGCCTGTCCTGAGGGAGCACCCAGTGTTCCCTTTTGCCAGCTGCTGCAAAAGTAATAAATCAGTCTAGGGATGTCAAAGTTCAGTTTCCAGGGGAAAATAATGATTTTACTCAAATGTGGAGTGTGCCTTTCTTAATAAGGGACCCTTAGCAGCATGGGATCACATCTCTATACTCTGTCACTCCCTTGCATGTGCTGATGTACCCTTCTTTCTAAAAGCCACCAAGCCATACTGGATCAATAAGGCCTGATCAATTGTTTTTCCCTCTGAACTATCCATATGGGGTTGTTAGTTGAGCTACTGGCAGAAAATGAGAGGCAGCTTTCTGTCTATTTACTGTAAAGAAGGCGAAGCAAACTACAGGAGGGGACAGGCTGCATGATATTTACTGTCAATACAGCCGGAGAGAGAGGAGATATAAGGAGAGGGGAGCAGGGGCTGCGGACTGCAGCCCCAGTGAATGATCTGAGTGTAAAAATACCCATGCAGTTTCAGATGAAAAGTGGGTGGATTGAAGTCAACAAGGGATAACTGAGAGCATTTAAGAAAGGGTTCACTTAAGGGCTAGTGAGGCAAGGACGTTCTAAGTAGCACGCAGAGTAATAATGCTGTGCATGAGTGTATTGAATCTGCACTGCAATCTGAAAAGTATTTCCAGATCTGCCCTGAGACAGAACAGTAGCTGGGATATTTTTCTGTCTCCCTATATGCAAAACCCACCATTTAAAAGTCATAAATAATAATAATTGAACTCAGAAAATAATATTTGGAGCTAGTTTTCCAAAGAAGCTGGAAGTCACCATTGTAATTCAGACCAGGAAAGAAAAAATAAAAATAGGCATACTTCCTTGCTTCTCTCTCCTCTTCTTCATCCACAGAGGAATAAGGTGACCTGAGTTTCACAGGGCAAGAAGTCTCTGAGCAGCTCCATCTGAGTGTTTCTCTACTTCCAGAGGCAGGCGAATGAATGAAGAGTGAATTCACACTTTAAAGAGCAGCGAAGACCATCTTGCCATGAAACCATTCACAGATGAAGATGTAGAAAACTACATCCAGAGCAAGGTAAGGCTTTATCTGTCCAGATTTTCTGTCTCCCACACTAGGTGTTGATTCTGAAGGGTGCCAAACTTGACAGTTACTTGCTTGCCTGCTGTCTTCATTTCTGAGACAAGACTGGGTGAAGTTTCATGAGAACTGTATTTCTAATGAGATTTCTAGGTTCCTGTTGCAGTATGTCATCAGGGATCTCAGCTGGTAGCCTAATTTTTCAAGGTTCTTGTCCTCTTCTTCAAATGTCCTTAATTTTTGCTCCTGGTCTGGAATTCCAGATGGGAGACTAGCTGTAATTGCCAGCATTTAAATCTAAGGAGAGGTCCTTGCCTCTCTCCCTTTCTTGTGATTTTGGTCTGGCAGAAACAAGACCAAAACCACACCAGGCAATGCCTGTAAGAAACATTCATGTAGGAACTAGAGAGACAGACAACTATTTGTTAGAATTCATTCATCAGTCTATCACCTTAGCTAAGGATACTTTCCTAGATACCATGATAAAAATAACGTCTCATTAGCACATGCGGATTGGAACCGCATTTTCTATTTTATGAGATACTCCAGCACTCAATTTTTCCCCCATTATGAAATAAAGTAAAACAGTATAAAATCATCTGCAAAACAATACTGTTTAATAAAAGTAGCTCTAAGTGAACCATAACAATTTTTAAAGCTGACATCTTTCATCAGAGTACTTAGCTAGGTCCTGATTTATAGTCTGCTTTCTCAACAAAATGCAAGATACTAAGATGAAAAATAATTTCCAAAAGGGAAAATATATGATTTTACATTCTGTAAAGCATTACATATTCTAGTACAAAGAAGGGGGGCTGATAAGAAATGTTTGTTTTCTCTATGGAAGTGTTTTGGTGACAAGTAGATATATTTCTGTGAGAACTTTTCATTTTTCAGCCATGCAGTGTTGTGCACAGGAAAATCATTCCATCAGAATCTGTTCAGTGATCTATAATAGCGAACACTTCTCTGAAAGATTTAAAAAAGCAGAGCTACAAAGGAGGGAACTGAGGGAAGCCATGTACAGGAAGATGCTCATATGACAGCTATAAGTACAGGAACAAGAGCAGAGTGTAGTTAAGTGAGGATCATAGTTGGCAATATTTGAGGTTCTACTGAAAGTCTGTTTTCTAGCAGCCCTCCATCTCTGATGGATTCCTAGTTTCTATCTGCTCCTGAGTCTCCTGTCCATATGAGGCTGCCTAACCTTCAGGCAGTCCCAGTTCAGCTTGTCAAATGCTGCCTGTTTTTGAAAGTAGGTCAACCACCTGGTGCAATGAATCTCTTTAATAACAGAGACTTCTTCCTTAAGCCGCTCAGCAAAAGAAAAACTCAAGTGTATCTGGAGAGGATGCGACTGGGTAAATGAGAGAAAACCCAAATGTTCTTAACAGTTCCTAATAAATCCCATTCTTGCTTCTCTCCTCCTTAGTAAGTTGACCTTGTTGTTCTAGTTTTGTGCATTTGTTTTGGCATTATTCCCCAAATCAAGACTTGGTAAAGGGAATGCCAATAGGTGGTATAAACAGAGTCCTTATGCTGTCTCTTCTCCCAGAATGTCTGTGCTGGTGCTAAAGGCATCTGAGATAAATGCCTTGGCTCTTCAGAAGCTGCATTCACTCAAACATGTTCTGTCTTCTGATTTTTATGCCCTCTCTTCTGTAGGAAGGTTATATTTCCCAATATCATGATTAGGGAGCTAATTATGGTTAGGAACAGTGAGCACCCTCTGTCACATGTCTCTTGTTCTTGTCCTTTTATCCCTGCCCCAGGGATGAGGAGCACATGCAGAAAGAGTTGTTTAGTTGTAGCTCCTCCCTCAGTAGGTTTTGTGAGAGTCTATGCTCTTACAAAGAGTTCATGACAACTGCTGTAGCCTAATCAGTAGGTGATGAAAGCAGAAATAAATGTGGCCAGGCTGGGGTGGATGGATTCTCCCAGGATACTGGAGGTGGCAGAAGGTGTTTCTAGCAGGTGCCCCTTAGAACATAGCATGAGCAATGCATACAGAGACACTCTAGGTCTCCATTTGAGCTGACCCATGGAGAGGTTGTATACTTTCAATATTTTTTCAATAGAAAAAGTCTGGTTTTTTGTCTAAAAGCTCTTAGAGATGAACAGTTTTCTCTACCACTCACCATTCACTAGTTGGAGAAACCATTAGGTATCATGCTGAGCAAGACAAGCTTATTGAATTGTCCTAAGTTGTTCTGGATGAACAAAAATAAGGTGGAGAAAATAGCTATAGCTACAGATGGAGAAGTGCCATGAATGAAAGCTGAGATCAGGAAGTGAAAATGAACATGGGCTAAAATTTTTCAGTATAAATTGAGAAAAAACAGGTACATATAACCTAGCTAAAACTGGTCTTACAGAACAAGGATGAATTGGAATGAGGAGGAGGGTGAATTACTAGGGAAATTAGAGGATATTATATAAACACAAGGGACTATATGGTATTAACACAGCAAAGAGACAATATGTCAAGGGTAGATGAGGACCCAGTGAAGGGAATATGATATTGCTGTCCAATCTATTTCCCACTTCCAAAAGCTATTCAGGCTTAGTAAAAATACTGTTAACTTTGGCAATGGGGGGAAGGTATTCAAATTCTGCTCTCTTTCAAGTTCAGTGTTAGTCAATTGCTATTTATTGGTTAATTTATCTTACGCAAGCACGAGTCCATTTTAGTCCATTGAATCATCCCTTATTTTGAAATAATTAATCAGTTTGTTCCTTTTGAAGGCCTGGGGATACATTTCAACACACTTGAGTGTTTTTGTCTGATAGTTCAGCATTTGACATAAAGATGTCCAAAAGGACTTTTAATGAAGTGATTCTCAACGTGTTGTTTAGGTGCTGAAGATGCTGTGAAAGCAGGACACAGGAGTTTTAGAATAGTCACAGACTGGTTTGGGTTGGAAGGGACTTTTTAAAGATCATCTAAGTGCCATCTCCCTGCTGTGGGCAGTGACATCTTTCACCAGACCAGTTTGCTCAAATTGGTCATCCAACCTGGCTTTGAACACTTCTAGGGATGGGGCATCCACAGCTTCTCTGGGCAACCAGTTCCAATGCCTCACCACCATCACAGTAAAGAATTTTTTTCCTTATGCTTTTGCTTACTTTTGGCCTTTGATAATAACAAAAGACTGTAGCAAGTATGTTTGACTGTGGCAATTATGCTTAAGCCAAGCTGTTAATGATCTAACACTCCTGTTTTATACCTGCAAACAGCCCAGCTGAGGTTTTAGTTCTTGCGCCGGGGCAGGTGGCTTAATTTTGTAGTCTTTCAAACCTCCCATCTGTTTCTGATTTTTTTTCCTTGCCTGCAAACAATAAGATTTAGTAGAATATGGTGAGGAAAAAAAAAATCAAGAGGAAAGCAAAAGTTACAATCAAATGAGATAAAGCATGGGATGCAAAAAAGGACAGTAAACAGTCTTAATATCTCACTCTGTGTAGGTAATTCTGGGTGAATAAGTAATGAGGAGTATGTTCATGAATTTCATTATCAGAATCTCCTCACTTTGGTAAATGTGTAAGGGTATTTGGGAAATATTAAATGTCTTTTACTATCATGGTTTCCCTCATGTTCCTCCTGTTGAATCTCCTTGTTCAGATTGTGATCATCCCCTTGCACTCCATTCATTTTTAGTCACATATGAAGGCAAAGATTCATCTGATATTTTTCTGAGTTGTCCATCTCTCACCTCAGTCCTTTCAAGACTCAGACTTTCCACTGAAATAATTTTCAGTAAATAATTATGCTACTACTGCTTGAATTGAAGAATTATCCATCAAGTCACACAAACACCTACTTCCCAATGAGACCAGCTTTGGAAATATGCTTTGTCACCATCTAGGGGTAGACTCTTATCTGTACTTAGCTATGTAGAGAGTATGGATACTTCCAATGTATAATGTAGGCATCTAAATGATGCTGCAGACACCTGACACCTGACTAATGCACAGAGTATTTGTAATTCTTGAAGGAAGTGTTCTCCGCTCTTAAAATGAAACATTGGCTCTGAGATTGGCTAGTATACGTGTGGGAATAACTGGCTATTCTGCATCAAATAGATGAAGAATGAGACTGTAGCGGGTTGATAACAAATTTATCCATGTAATGAACCCTTTTCCTTCTATCTGATGGTATTGACATGGAAATATCAATTTTGGTAGTCTTGCTCTGTATATCAAAGCTCAGTAGTCTTGAATATTGGTCCTGTGATGTTTACCAGCTCTGTTTCATGGTAAATCAGTTGCAACACACAGGAAACAGAAAGTTCTATTCCCAGTGCAGCACAGACACAAATGTTTCAGGATGCTTTAAGCTGGTTGACTGTTTCCCACTGGAGACAGACACTGGAGTTACCTGTAACATGAAGTGTCTTTCCTGGAACTGACAGGTGGAACAGCGACATCACCTGGTTTCCAAAGCAGTGGAGGAGGTGCAGAAAATCATCCAGCAGCTGACCACAGAAATCAGCTATAAGGCCACGCGATTCCAGGCTATCTCCAACTCTGGCATTCATAATGAGAACATTAAGGTATGAACAAGAGCCCTGATGTACTCCCTGGCAGCCTGCAGGCAATCAGTAAGTGATTTCTCCATTGTGCAAATGTTTGTGAGGGCAGGTACCTCACCCAAAACACCACAGACGATGTGCTGACAATTCACTGTGGGAGTTCTGGTGACTGGGTTATAGAGACTTACTCTCGTGGACATCTTACAATTAGAGGAGTATCCGAGAGGGATGGGTAAATCAGGCAGAGCCTCTTTTTACAGCTGCTGTGTTTACAAGGAGCATCTATTGCCAGACCTGTCAGTCTGCAGCAGAAGGCAAAGTTCTTTGGGAAATAGAGAGAAAAACTTGTACATCAGTAACATAAGAAAAAATCCTCATGCCTTCATGAGCTATGACTCATATTTTTCACAGGTGGAAAACCTGTCAACTCACTAAAAAAAAGAAAGGAAAATCAAAGTCCTTCTGCTATGAGCATTAGAAAGCTTCTTCAGAAAAATGGGCGAGGTTTGTCATGGATTGGAATTTCTTTTTAACTTGGAAGAAATATGCCTATTAGTGGGAGAAGTTAAATGCCTCCCCATTTTAGACCTTCAAATATGAAAATAATAATATGACAGATGAAGACTGGTTGTTTTGGTTATTTCCTGTGGCTACATAATACAAGAGTAACTAGTGTAAAGATATAAGAAAAAATCACAGCAATGGCAACTTCTGATGAAAATTATCTTTTCCATCTGAACTAGTTTACGTACTCTAGCTGTGTCAACCTTATACTAAAATGCAGCCAGTTACAGATCAAAGCACGGCGAACATGTGAAAACATGAGGCAACTTTTGCAGCTCTCTGGGACTGAAAGGGAAGAAGCCTGTGTGTACCAAGCTGCTGGAAGGTTATGGAGGTGGAGGCAAAATATAATCAATATGTGATTGATGTATCAGCAATATGGCTATTGCCCTGGGAACAAAGACATTCAGATCTGTAGCTTTTCTGGAATTCCATGTATCCCAGGGCACGTGGCCTTGTCAATAGATATGACCACAGTGACGTAAAACCACATCCTGGTCCACGTGTTCCTTAGTGCCAGAGTCTGCCAACCACCTTTTATGCTGGAACAAACCTGCTTAGCTAATGAGGTCTGACAGGACCAGGGTCAGGGGAAAATTGTTGTTCTGGAAAACAAAGCAGTACAAAACCACAAAGGCAATCTATTCTGAGCAGTAATTTGGAGTTACAGTAGGCTCATCTGAACAATTTCTGCTTGGAAGAAATCCTCAAAATATATTTTCTTAAAAAGTGACAGAGTTGTTATTCATACTTAACTGAACCCAGTGTTATAAATCTGTGGAATTAACACTAGGAGGGCCTGACTAACTTTGTCCTGGATGTATAGGGCAGCAAAGAAGGGGTTGATGAAAAATTATTTTGACTTGTAGTTTCAAAAACTGGAAACCTTAATATTCTTGCTGACATAATTCAACCTAGAGGAGACTTTTGTCAAGGGAAAGTCAATGTATTCATTATTCTGTGTTTAATTTTGCAACATCTTTTTTCTGTCAGTTAAATTTGCAGAACTTTCCTGAACTTTCAGCTTCTGGTTAAAAGGAATCAATTTAACATGGTGAGAGGTCCAGATTTGTTGAGAAGCCACAAACTTCCTTCTAAATATGCACAGCTAAGAGGAGAATATATAATAAAAGTCTTTAGATATTCAATGTTTCTCTGTAACCCACACAACAAAAAGTCAGTCTTTAATAAACAACTTGAATTAGAATTCACATGGACAAACCATGTTATTTTAAGTATTTGTTTTAGTTGTGGCCCACCGTTTTTGCAGCTGTCAACAGTGCAGGGCTGGTGCAAAAGCTGTGGAGGCTTCAGTAAGGCATAATGAGCAGGTTAGGGTTCAGACTAATGATTCATACAGCACTGCTTAATAGCATTGCCAAACGTTTAACTCTGTAATCTCCGTGGGGGCAGGGGGGAGATTTTCCTTTAAAAAACAGGCTCCAAGGAAGCTTGCAGCTTTGCTCTGTGAATGAATGACCTGGCACGTGCTTTCTCTCTGTTCTTCTCTTGTACTTCTTGTTTTCCTTTCTGCTTCTCTCAGGATCAGCCAGCTTTACTGGCCAAGTGGTCAGCTATGCTTCGGAGGAAGCGCCCATTCCACCCGTCCATCCAGGTACAAAGCCTTCCTGCCATCTGGTGCCTGACAGTCCATGTGCCTGCTTCCTCCTCACCGACCCTCTTCTCCAGACAACTTCACCCACCTAACTGATCCTCCCATGACTATTTCATCCTCTCCACAAGAGATTTCCCTTTTTTTTTTTTTTCTCAAAGCGTAATTATTTTCTTTCTAACCTAAAGCTTCTGCCTCCCTAGAACATCCTGGCCAGGACTGCAAGAATGAGGTTGTATTAATTTGCCCAGCAAACTTCAGACAGGTTTTTAATGCAGCACAATTGGCTGTAATTTACACACCCCAGAATGTGAGGCTCTTGATCAAGCCTGTGGCTTGCTGGGGTCCATGGTCTGCATATAGCACATAAGACCATCGTGTGACAGAGCATAGGTGTGGGACTGGGATTTGTTTAGGCCAAGAGGACACTAACTGCCCAGCTTTACAATGCCATCACCAGCCTTGTGTCTTCTGTTGTTTCCTGGTAAGCCCCAGGTGGAGGACCCTTGTGACTTGCATTTGCAGGCACTCACATAACACCTGCAGCTCTTCCCTTTACAGTCTGTTGGGTGCCAGTGTGTACAACACAGCATCCTGGTATGGAAAGGAAGGGTAGTTTAACTGCAAATGTGGCTCAGGCGGTGAGATGAGCAGTAACTGCATGACAGCCACTGTATTTTGTCCTTATGGAGCCTCACACCCTGTTTCTGAGCTGCTCCCAGGATTACTCAACCCCATCAGACCTGACGTGTACAGGTCAGCTTGATCTGAAATGTCATCCTTCCAGAATCCCCCTGCCTTTATAGTTTATATTTGACAAAAGAGCAGCTTTCTGGTGTTTCCTTTGCCATTGCTGTGCTTCTTGCTGGCCATCTTTTGTACTTCAAATCTCTTGCCAGGGAGCAGAGAAGACCAGCTGCTCCCTATGGGGGAGGGAGGTGGGAGGTGAGCATAACAAGGCAGCTTCTGCCCTTTGGTGCTCGAGTGAGGCAGACCTAGGGAGGGCAGCTGGGTCAACCAAGAGTCTGGGTCATCAGGTAAGTCTGCTGAAGTCAAGACAGGAGCACTCACCAGGGTCAGAATCAGCTCCAACAATACTAACCAGGATCAGATGCAGTCTACTGATTGCCAGGCAAGTCCAAGTGGCCAAGTAAGTCTAAGGCCAGGCTGGGAAGGCAGCCTGCAGATAAGACAACAAGGTCTATGGCCAGCACAGCATAGCTGTCACACAGTTGGAGACCAGCACTCCTGTGATATAGCCCAGGGCTCAGCTGAAATGGGGGCCCCAGACCCATGGGCAGATGCTGTGGGTAGAAGTCCCAGAAAGGCTACTTAGGGCCATTAAAACCTGTTAGTGCCCTCAGGGCACTGGCACCTCTGTGGTAATATTTTAAATCAGTTGAGCTACCAGGAAGGCTACCAGAGTGTTTTGGGTTACTATAGGAAAGTGACAAGCATGTTTCATTCACCTTGGATGTACCCTCCTTACAGCAACAGCTGTCACTTCATATCCTGCTTGTGCAGCAGTTTTACCTTACTTATGCCAATGTAAGTTAGGGTTGGTAGCAAGTGGACTTGAAAGGCTCCTGAGCCGACACAGTAAAATCTGAAGGAGTCTGAACACCCTTTCTGGAGCCACAACTGCCAGATGCTTCCAAACTAGCATTTTGAGATGTTTGGCTATGCCCTGGGCCAGGATGAAGTTTCAAGGTATTTGTGTCATCTTATTCTTTCTTTGCAAATATTGGCTCAGCACTGGTTTTATTGGAAAACGGTCATTCCCAAAATGAGGCAAATTAGATGGCTTGAAAACAAGCCTATCAAGAGTTCCTTTTCCATTGGTTGCTGCCTCCATCCTTACACTGTTTTTGTCTTGTGCTCAGCAGGAGATGCAGTTCCATACAGCAGAACTGGCCAAGACCTGAGCGTATCTCTGTAAATGCCACTGCCTCTGTAGGCTCAGGCACGTCACTTGCCTTGTGTCTCTGTCTCTTTAAAGGACTGTCATACAGAGTGAAACACTTGTAAAATAATGGACCGTAGTCTTATTTTACTAATGTCTGTAGTGAGCTTTGACAGAGATCAGAAAGGTGCACTTATTGCCATAGTTATTATTAGTATTGAACTCTCAAGTAACAGTTCTGAGGAAATAAATTGCACTATTTTGTTTCTGTTTGCTGTATCTCAGACATACTCTCTAATGCTTTCCTGCTCCTTGGAAGCTGCCAGTTATTATATCTCATGCAATTGCAGACTAGAAATAACACAAAAAGGGGGAAACCATGTGGTGGCAAATCAGTCAGTTAGCTCTTGTGTTCTAAGGGCCATGGATGTCACATCAGACTCCTTCTAAAACAATTTCCTTTTAATCTCTGTACCCACAAAGTAACCAACCCTCAGACAGAGGTCCTGGCTATGTTCAATTGATCCCATCATACCTTGGCTTTTCCTTTTCTCCAAAGCCCCCAGTTTTACCTATTACTTCCTTAACCCTCTTTTCCTTACTTCAGGCTCATGGATCTGCCCTTGTCTTCTCTCTCAATCTCTCTGAACTCTCCCAGGTCTTAGCACCCAGCCAGTTCCTCATCACAGTCCCTCTGCGTGGCCTGACTGGGTACAGGGAATGCCAGGTACGGCACTGGCGTTATTACACCGTAAATGGAGCCAAGCTCCTCTCCTCCGTGCGGGACCCTGAGGAATTGCATCAATGGCTAGAGGTGGAGCAGTTCTCAAAAAGCCTACAGCAGTGGCATGAAGAGGATGTGAACATCGAAGGTGATCTGGTTCCAGCCAAAGTCCTTATCGTCTTCCGGGAGCTGGTGGAGAAGTCGATTATCTCCTGTAACCTCTCCAGTGAGTTTGGTGGGGACAGGTATAAGGGAAACCACCACACACACAAAGTATTTGTTTGGCTCACATGATAGAAGATAAGAAACAGCAAACCCCTCCAAAAAAAAGGAAGCCTTTAGGTGATGCATGTAGACCTGCATTGAAGATAGAATTAAGTAATTCTCAGGCTCTTCATACCCAAGTTCTTACTCCTTTCTTAGGAGTTTGAGTAGGTTCTCCGGAAACATCACCCTGACAGTTCAAGCAAGAGGCAGCCCAGATTTTTAGAACATTTAGCAATTTGTTTAGGAGAAAAAGTCTTTTTCTACTACAGCACCTGCAATATGTTTATACTATCAAGGAAGGTAGTATAGGAAAATCTGATACAGGGAGGGTGCATAAGTCTAAGGAGAATGGAGATACTTACAAGCAGATAGTTTTCTGGGAAAACCTCAGCTGCCCATAGCTTTCCAGCATGGACTGTTGGGAACTAAGTAGGACTTTTACTTTAGGCAAAGCATGTTGGACAAGTGGTCTTTTCCCCAGTGTCCAGGCTACTCCAGTCAGTTTCTGGAAGCGGACACAGGAAGTTTACATTCAGTAGTGGAGCTGCAACCTCTGTTACCAATCCAAAGTGCCTGTTTATTTCCTATGACTATTTATGCTGGAAGTGCTGTTCACTGGCATAATGTGGTCGATGATGCACAGAACATGCCTTCACAACTGCAACATCTGTATCAAGATGCTGCTGAACAGTGATCCTTGGATTTAATCTTTAGCATCCTGGAGGCATGTTATAGAATTCAGCTACTGACAATTTGGCTTGGTCCAAGCTACATAGTCTACGTCCATCTTTTCAAATTAAGATACTGGGACATGATTAAATCCAGACTGTGGTGCCTCTTCTCAAAGCATGTTTCTAGTATGACTCCTTACTCATCAGCAGCCTAATATGGGTCCTCTGTATTTCAGAGCAATAGGAGCCATATCCAGTATCTGATTGCACTCTGAATTGTGAGGAAAACATGATAAAGTCAAGCTCAGCTAGATAATGGCATTTTTTCAAGAAATATTTGTTATCATAGAAATGGAAAGGTGGATGGGAATGAAATTTCACCATCAAGGCTCATGGAAAAGACCAGCAGGAATGGGCTTGTCTCTGAAGCTTTACTTATGCGAAAGTTACTGTGTTGAAGTGAAAATCTGCTGTCTAGCAGCAGTATATCAAGTTGTTGTGATAGGAGTAGTCCTTCAAGGAACCCAAAGCATAATGTTTGGGCTGATGATTCTGATGCTTTTTTTGTAAGGCCCACTGGGAGGAATGAGCTAAGATGAACTTGGGAGAAGCAATTTCCATTTTTGTTTGTTTCTGTTAAGAATGAATTTCCTTAATCACACAGGACGGCTAAAGTTGCAGAAAAATTTCCCTGGTTTCATTGCTTTCCCGTTTTTTTAATCCCTTGAGCATCAGCAAAGCCAGTTTTTGAGGTGCCTCACTTTTCATTGGTGGAAAAATAGGTATCACAATTGCAATGCTTTTGGAAATACCATGAACATGTTTACACGCTGACACAGTGGTTGCTCTAACAGTTTTCAGCTGCCAGGGATCCTTGCTGAGAGCTTGGGAGCAGCATAGTTCCTGGTTTTATGCCAGACTTGCCTCAGCAGGAAAGTAACATGCAAATTTTACTGAGGGTTATGAAGTTCTGGTTGGGATGGACTCTACTATTTGCAACATAATTCATTCTGTGCTTTCTGGAGGAGATGCTAAATTGGGGATAGGCAGATATTTCCTCTGTGAGGGCAGAAAAGGTTGTCCTCCCAAATGTTCATCACTGTCCCTTCAAGTCTGCTGTGTGGGCTCCTTGTGGAATAGCTCCTTAGCCCATGCCAATCAAAATAAGGCACTAATGCACTACTATTTAAACTGCTTTTGTTAATCTCCTCAGTCTTCTGCTGCAGTTGTTTAGAGCATGGTAATTCCATTGGCTCAGATGGCAGAGCTGAAGGGACAGTGATCATGCCAGAGTGACTTGCAAAGCTGGGGACAGAAACTTCTTCCATGAACCAGCTGAACCAATGGGAAACAATGTCAAAGGCCATTAGTTGCACCTTTCTTTCCTTTCTGCACTCCTAGAGCATATTGTTCTTGGAGATGAGCCACTCTTCTTTCACACTGAAGAAACTTCCTTCCTCCAAATCACCTCAGAAGTAGCTCTTTTTGACACTCCTCACTCCCAGTGATCTAGCAGTTAGCCTTTTTTGTATGACTGCTCTGCACAACAGCCCATAAATTCTGTGCGAGTGCATCTCCAGAAACAAAACTTGCAGATACTCCACAAAACATTCTGAATGACTGGCAGTGGTAAGTGTGATATGGCAAGGGTTTGATCTCAGGTTCTCTGAAGGAATAAGAACATCTTTAGATATGAGGCGTTCATCTGGTCCTCTCTAATCTGCAGTGATCTCCTTGTACTGTACTGTTAGAAATGTTAGGTTGCATCAGTCATCTAGCTGTATTTTTAAGAAGCTGATCCTAGGATTTAAGAGGACCCACAAAGGAAAACAAAAGCACGGTAATTGAATGTAAAATTGAGAACTTAGTTGGTCTTTCATCTTTTTCCTATTCTTGTGTGCCAGATTTAGATAGATTCAAGTTTTTCTTAGATTCTGCTTATGGCATTGAAGAGGAGGTGTTAAGATAGACCAATAGAACTGCAAGATCATAGACAGCCTCTTGGCTGGCTTGTGGAAAAGGACCTTTTCAATTCTATTATCTTCTTTTGTTGTTCCTTCCCAGGTAAAGTGACGGTGCTGGAGAGCTTCAGCTCAGTGGTCCGGGTGGCCGTGGAGACATCAGAATCCCAGGTCGAGGTGGAGCTGGTCCCTGCTGTGGAGATTCCAACTTGCTGGCCCGAGAAGGCCCGGTGGCCTCGTTGCCTCAAGCGTTGGCCTTCTCAGGAAAAAGTGCGGTGCGTCAAGGTAAACAGTGTATAAAGAACTATTAACTCTGTGCTGGAATTTACCTCTCAGGCGTCTGACAGTCATTTCCCAAAGGAAGAACTGCATGGTGACAGCAGGCAACAGCAGGGCTGGAAGATGTATTCTCTAGTGAAGTGTTTCAAAATATTCTGTCAGGTTTTATTTGGATTTTTATACCCCTTACAGTGGTGAATTCTATAGACGAAAACCTGAGTTAACTATTTATTGCATGAGTCTCTTGCACACAGCTCTGCCAGTGCTGACATGGATAATTTTTGCTGTTCTACTCTCCCTCATGTAAGCCTTCAGCAACTGCAAGCCTTGGAGTTTTCCTTCCAGCCTAATCCCACATTTCTCTACATCAGTTATGGCTCGATTCTGGCACTCCAGCTCAGTCCCAGTTGCTGTGTTCCTGCAGATCCCATTCCGCCTTCCAGTCCTGCTCCCCTCTTGTGCACAACCTGCCTTTCCACAGCAAAGTGCCTGCAGAGCTGCACCTCTGCTTTAGTGGCACTGCTGGTACTGCGCCTGATGGCCCTAGAGCAGGATATCTTGGGAGTAACTGATACCAGCACACAGGGAAACAATACCAAATGCATGTTTGTTCGACTAAGAATTAGGATGGGAGCACGCCTCACTTGCTGCCTCTGCTAACCCTGTTTAGAATACACTTTGAAAGATGTCACACATCCTTTTTGTAACATCTCTCTGCATTGCTCGGAGAAGTTTGCCTCTGATCTGCTGTCACACTTCCCCCTTTGTTCACAGTCACTGGGTTTCGACCTTTTGGCCCGCTCCAATTATCACTGGCAGCTGTGCTTCTCCCGTGCCGAGCGCATCCTCATGGAAGGACTTGATGAAGATGGTGGTTGTCGCATGAAGTGCTTCAGGGTCATGAGGCAGATGAAGGAAGATGTCTGGTGTGCTGGAAATAAGCCTGTCATCACGGCTTATCACCTTCAGGTAGGCATCACTGCGATGCCAACGTACAGCTGCAGTAGCTGTTGCAGTGCCTTCCATCCAGTAATGTCAAAATATTGTGGTGTAAATCGCTGTAGCACCTGTGTAACTTCTGAGGTAGCTGTCAAAGCTGCAGTACCTTTTCACTGCTTTACAGTGGCAACAAGTTCAGGAAATATATGTTTTCCAAACTTCAGTAGGAAACTGAAGCCTGTAGGAACATTATGATTGCAGCAACATAAATAATGTTAGAGGCCCCTGCTCTGTTTTGACTTCACATAGGCATTGTACTGTTGTCTGTAATTGCTTCTTCACTGTCTCAGGCATCTATATCCATCTATCTGTGGATGTGCACTAACAAAACTGTCTTAACTGAGCATTATTAATGAATTAGGTGCAAACTGCAGTTCTGGTGGTGTTTCACCTGGGGTAGGAAGGGAAGAAAGAAAGGGGTGGTAGCATCCTCCCCATACCTACTTCAGGATTCAAGATGGCTTCAAACAGGATCTGTGAAGAAGAGGTGGAAGACTCTGCTACAACTGTGTCCCCACATCTGACAGCTACAGATACTGATGGGCCATGGGCAGCACCAGGCTGTAGAGCAATCCTGTTTTCTGGGACTCCATCCTCCTGGAGTTGCCAGGGAGCGGCTGTACTTTTCCCAACTTGAAGCCTCAAGCCACCAGCTTTCCACAGTAGTTACTGATCTTTTGGTGTCCAAAACCAGACGCAATGCCAAGATTTCTCCTAAAGAAAGAGCTTGTGACCATCAAATGCTATTATACTCAGAGCACTACTTCAAGTCAAGATGGAGTCAAAAAAGAGATGACAAGGCTGATTATAGCTTAGCAGAATGCAAAACTTCTCAGTGCCTGTAAGAACAACCTGCTGGAAAAACTGTCATAGATAGGAGAAAGTAGAAAACCATTTAACCATCAGTAACATTTTTTCTCTGGCTGATAAAGCAGATGTGCAGGAAGTGCTGTTGCACAGACTCTTGATCAAAATAAAAAGCTATTTAGAAGCTCTTCAGCTCTTTACTGTAACTGTACTTTAGGCTTTTACAGCAAGAGAGGATTGGTTTACTAGAGAGAACAAATATTTCAAAATTACTTACATTAAACAGAAAAAAATAAAAGGAAAAAAAAAAGTAAAATGGGATAAACAGTCATTGGATAAACCAGTAGTTAAGCAGAGGCTTAGTGTTAGGTTTCTTCCCATTCTCAGGTTTCCCCCAACAGAGGTATCCAACAACTAGGATGAAACAAGACTCTGTATGAGAAAGGATGCTCTATGACAGGAAATTCTTCCCTCAGAAACTTAGAAAGGCTTAGAGGACCAAGTAAGAGCACTCATTATGCTTAACCTCAGTAGGAATGAAGTTCAAGATGTGGAAGTTAAAAAAGATCTAGGTACATTTTGAAAAACAACTCCATGCTGCTGGTAGATAGCTGGCAGTGAAGGACAGTTGCATAAATGCTGGGGATAAATCACCTATTTGGCACCTGACTGGAAAAGCAGCACTGTTTCCCTTGCTTCCAGAAACTTCATTGCAACTGCTGCCCATGGATCTTGCTGAAGTAGATTTAGTGTGACAAAAGGTAACTGCTCTGCAAGTCTTCGATGAGTTGCTCTCACAGAGCTATAGCTTGAATTCCTCACTGTGTCTTTCTTCCCTGGTGACATTAAAAAAAGGCTTTGTGGTTATTGCAGCTGTGAACAAAAAAATTGTTCACATTTGAAAAGCTTTCTGGGAAGAAATTTGTCAGCAATACAACTACAGATGAAATTCTACCTCTGTAGAAACAGAGGAGTTGAATGCTGTAGTTCAATCACTTCTCACAGTATGTGTGGGTCTCTGGCTTGCTGAATCTGCAAAATAAAGTTGGGATTCAGAGGACAGTTAAGGGACTTAGCAGAATTATTGAATCCAGGATAGGTGACTTAGTACTTTAAAAAGAGATTTCAGGTTGACCAAGGCAGTCAAGTATGGATTTTTCAGGACAGTAGTGTAAGGACCTCAAGAAAATTCTTCTCAGTCATAGGAAAGTCTGAAGAGATGCAACACGGGCAGTGTAAAAACAATACTATAATAGCAATAATCACAGACATTTTGTTATTTTAACTATGTATTTCTCAAATGTAAAATTGCTAAAAAATAAACGTGGGGGAATAGAACATAAGACATGCTGTAAGTATCACATGTCAGAAAAAAAGAGGCAGCACTTCACCAGAAAGCAAGCCTTGCACCTGCAAGAGCTGCTTGGAATGTCAGTCTGTTTAGGATGCAGATCTGTGTGCATCTTCAGCATAAATACAGCTGAAGCTAACAAATAATTATGTTAATCTCATTATGCTTTCCTCCCTCCTTGCACCTACTGGCTTCCACGCTTGCATAATAGGCCATTTTCTACAGCCTAAAATGCCTGGCATTTCTACAGAGGCTCCTGCTGGAGGATGGTAAATAAGCTAATATTATTTTAGCAAGATCATTTTCCGTGGTCTCATGGCTCAGTCAGTGGGGCTTCTCTGGGGAGAGATCCTATCCAGGCATGTCAGAGTTGCTCTGCCTGGTCCCCAAAAGAGGCTTTAACTGTGATCCCTGCATTGCAGAAATGTTAACACAGGGAGATAGCAGCACGAGTCTCTCTGATTTCCAAGGCTGTCAGCCATTTACCAGCACTAAAACTGCCTTAGTAAGCTGTGTGAGCCCTCGACAGAACCTCTAACACATCTTCTCTCCCATCTGCTTCTTGCAGACAGTGCTATTCTGGACGTGTGAAAAATACCCACGCACCAAGGATTGGCGCTGCTTCCCTGAAGCCTTTCTGAGGCTGGTACAGAAGCTGCACAAGTGTGTAAGCCAGCACTTCCTCAAGCATTACTTTCTCAAGAACACCAATCTACTCAAATATGCCAACACCAGTGACCTGGACCTGGTGGCCAGCAAGCTTGCAGTCTTCTTGGAGAACCCAGTCTTCTGCCTGGACTGAGGCAAGCAAAGGTCTCCTCACCCCAACCCTGAGCCAATCCCCCACCTCCTCTCCCCACCTGCAGTTGTTCTTCGTGTCCTTGCAGTAGATGTTGCAGCTGGCTTTGTAAGACACTTGGCACATGCAGCGTGAAAGAGAAGTGTCAAGCTGGCAGCAGTGGGCGGTGAAAACTGATGGAAGGTATCACTTGATGCCCAGCTGATCTAATTTGCTTTCAACTGTGACAGCCTGCCTGGAAGCTACAGCCAGTGAAACCCAACTTCGTGTCAGTCAGAACAGGCAACTGCCTTGTTCTCTGACTCTAATCTTGTGGCACTTTAGCAGAAAAGCAGTGCAAAGGAGTCTCGCTCTGCTGCCTATCGTCTCTGTAACTTAGCACGTGTATTGTTGCTGCAATCGCCTTCCTCACAAGGACAGCGGGTTTAATTGCCTGTTTGCCTCACAGGCCAGCTCTGCAGAAGAACAGAGGAACATTTATGAGGTGTTCCAATGCTGGGAGCTTTCTCAGAGGCACTTTGAAGTCTCCATCTCCAGTTCAGTGGGACTTTGCTCCAGTAAGAAGACAACCATGCTGCTAGTGTTGAATAGCTCAACAAAAGCAAGAGGAGGAACAGTGGTTTTTGCCTCTTCGTTTTTCTCTCCTGCACTTACATTTTTCCTCCAATTGCTTCAAATATGTTTTCTTCTTGTTTGCCTTTGCTAGTCGTGTTAGTGCCATACAACCAGGGGGCTTTGCCAGAGTAGATTTCACTCCCATCCCTGGCTCCATCCAGCAGGCTGGAGGAGGAACAGGTCTTTCCCTAGTTGTTAGCACCCACGTGTTTTTTGTGTACCGTACAGAAGGAGAATATTTTTCAAAGGCTGTTAGCTCCAGCACCCCCCCCCATCCCCACAACCAGTGCTTTTAATATTATGGATGTTTAGAAGGAAAACCAATTTAAGTGTTTCAAAAGAACAGGGTTGTAGAATGAGTGTAAAGAAAGCTGGTTTTAAGGTTATTAAATCAGTGAAACTAAACCAGAGTGGGCTTTTTTTCTTTTCTTTTCCTTTTTTTTTTTTTTTTTTTGTAACTTTCTTATTACACCTGTGCAGGAAAGTATGTCAGTCTCTCCTTTGCCAAGGGGGGTGGCAGAGATGGGATTTGCTGCTCGAGGAGCATCCGTGGCGCAGCGTCTCCCCCTTGTGCCAGACTGTGGTGTGACCACGCGTCTTCAGCGCCGCCTCTGCGCCCTGAACGTGGAGAGGGCTGAGAACCTGGGGCTTGTCAAGTTTAGAGAGATGGCTCTCTACAGCTCCCTGGGGAGGGGAAGGGGAGAGGGAGGTGCTGATCCCTCCTTCTCCCTGGAATCCAGGGGTAGGACACGTGGAAATGGCTCAAAGATTCCTAGAGAGGTGCTCGATGCCCCAAGCGTGTTTGAGAGGCATTTGGACAACATGCTTTAACTTTTAGTCAGCCTAGAAGGGCAGTTGCAATGGATGATTGTTGTAGGTCCCTTCCATCTGATCTACTCGGTTCTATTCTAATCTATTCTATTCTGTCCTTTCCTTCACCTACGTATGGGAGGAGGCTTTCTTCTGCAGTTCTGTAGCACAGTAGATATGGGTCAGGCAGGATCCCAACTATGTGGTCATTCTTGTACTGGTCTCGTGCATCAGACCAGTGTGCAGACCTGACCCTACTATGTAAACCAGCACCCTCCCTTGTTCAGAATCTGGGAATACTCTCCAAGTCACCTTTCCACGTGGATAACCACGTTGTGTGGAACTGTTTTGAACAGTTAACTCCTCTTGCTAAACCTCTGTTCTCCAGGCTCCTTTCTAAATGGGACACAAGTGTCAGTTTCGTGATGACACCTCCTGTTCAAGTGTGGCTTTCCTGTTTCCTGAGCTGTTTTGGTAAAGAGCAAGGAGATGCCAATCTGCTGAGCAGAGTCAGGCAGCTGTGGCAATGAAGTAATGTCTCCTGTTTCGTCTTGGTTTTGTCTTGTGGTTGAAGTGCTGGCTTCTGAAGTTAGAGGAGGACAAAAGCAGTTTGAAAGGACAGTGAAAAATGTTCAGAGATATTAATCCCAAGTTTGACATTTTACTGCTCTGATGTAAGAACCTTTTGGGATTTAGTTGTGGCTCTTGAATTTATCTCCCTTCGTAGCTGCGTGAAAAAAATGTTTGAGTGGTGATATCTTATCAGAGTCCTCAGTTGCTGTGGTTCACAGCCTGCTACGAAGCAAAATCATGGGCATGCACTGTGTGCTGCAGAGCCATGACGTGGAAGGTTCCGCTGCTCTGCCAGAGTGGCAGCCTCTTACAGCCAGGAGTGAATCAGCAAAGCCAGCAAGTAAGCACAGAATGATGGACCCTTGCTTTGAGACAAGTCTGATCATTTTTTTTGCTCTATTTTCTTGTTGGTACACAGGCATCTAGCATATGCTGCTGCAGAAAATATCTTTGTCACCATATAAAAATCAAGATCTGCCCTGGAAGGTACGTTGCTACTGACCACAAAGACACAGGAACAATCCCCCAGCTTTTTCTTCAGAGCAGCAAGACACGACACAGCTGGCCACTAGCAAAGGGTGAGGGAAAAGACTTCTTTGAAGAAGGAACTAGTGTATCTATTGAAGTAGAAGAATACAAGAAATAATTTCATCTCAGGCACAGCTTTGAGGTATACTACGTGCTATCTTATATCATCTAGTGCAGGTCTGGTTGGGTCTATGTGGGGATTTTGTGAGGCAGTCTTCTGTGGTTGTGGGAGAATTGTGCAGGAGGTCTCTGATTAAAAAAAACCAACAAAACACTAAAAAACTTGCCAAGTATACTTAATCACATTTCTTATTACAGTAAACTCTCTGCAAATAGCTTTTCACTTATACACCCAGTCTGATTGCAAAATCATGCCCTCATCCCAAGGTTTTCTTCCAAAAAAAGGATATCACATTGTGTTTTGGCTACAGAATAAGTTTTATTTTTCTTTCTTCAAAAAGTGATCATGTTTACAAATACAGACTTTCTTGGAGTAGGTTTAATCAGAAGTTCTATCCTTGTTCAGAGCATCTGGAAGGACTGTGATGACCATTTGTTCACCCTCTCATTACTTTCATGAGTGTTTGCTGACTGTCACAGAAAGGAGAAATCTTGACTTTCATAATTTCTTCATGGTTGGCAGTGACTTTTTGCTTACTTCTCAGTTTTGCTTTCTCTTCTTAACTTCTTCTTAACTCTTCTTAACTGTCTTTAAAACAAGAGGGGGCAAACAGTGGCCAAAAGAGAACTGTGTTGTTTGCATGTGAAGCACAGCACTCGAGAGCAACAGGCATTCCCAAAGCACTCACTTAAGCAAAAGAGGGAGGAATTAAAATGCATATTTGTGATGAGATGGTGGGTGCAATGAGTGTTTACAGAAATCCTCTGTTTAGAGCGACATGAAACAGCACCTCTGATAGAATTTTGGGTGACTCATGGCTGAGCTCTCGGCCACCGTGTCCTTTGCACAAGATGATGGCACTCATCCTGAGTGCTAACTGAGGGTGTTTTTCAAGGTATATGAAAGGTAGCTTGTTAAAGGTAGCTTGTTGCTAGCTGTTGACTGGGCAGGAGAGGTGTGTGGGATCCTCACTGCCGTGCCACGTGCTGGAGCCTTGGCTGAGATGAGGGATGCTGAGAAGGCTCATGGTGGGTGCTAAGGGCCTCCTTACAGCTGCAGGGCGCTCACAGCCCTTATCACAGACAGCATCCCTTCATCTGTCTGAAACTTCAATTTGAATGTGTTGCTCTGCCATACAAAACCCTACAACATCACCCTTGTGATGTTTTAGTTCCTTTTAGATTGCCTGCCTTCAACTCACTAGAGGGCAATGTCTCTCTGAAGCACACACACCTCACTCGCTCTTAAAATCAGCATCTTGTAGTTTATCATCTTGTTAGTTTATCATCGAGCTGAGACAAATGAGCATGATTAATTTAATGCTAAAAAAGAGACAAGAAAAGAGATCATGGAAGAGCTTTCTAATAAATACCAAGACTTGGGTAAAAAGTCTCTAAACTCCGGGAACCACTCCAAGAGCCAGAATATGCATTTATTTCTTTCTGCAGCAGGAGATGGGCTTGCAGTAATTCCCAGCTGTCTTGGACTGGGGAGAACACCAACAAGCAAAGTGCAGGCAGGGTTCTGGGAAGGAGGAAACTTGCGGGAATAGCCACTCCCCTGCTCCATTAGGGTCCTGCCCTTTCTCCATGGGGAGCTGGGCCATGACTCCCATATATGCCTACCCCTCAGGTTCCTCTGCCTCCCTCTTTTTCTCATTTTCTCCTTTCCTCTCCCCTCAACCTCTCCCCTTGCCCTCCCCCTCAAAAAAAAAAAAAAAAAAAAAAAAAAAGAGAGATTTTCTCTGAAGAAGCTTTCTGATGCCAGCCCTTTGGTGCTGTTGGGAATGGTCATTTTTGAGTGCACATCATCTCTCTTTTAGTTAATGGGACCCAGGTGTACACAGAGGCCATTACAGACCATCTACTCACCTTCACTTATACTCCATTTTTAGTTTGAAATGGTGCCCAGCAATGCAGTTAGAGTACCTTGCAACTATGTTCCCAGTGGGAGCAGCCTGGCCTCTCTGAGCAAAACGGTGGCATGGACAGTAACAGGTAAGAGACTAATTCTCCCTTCACACTAAGTATTTTTCTCCTTACCAATGCTAGAATTTCTGTTTTCAGGAGAAACATACTTTTTATTCTTATACCTCGCCCCCAAGGACTCTTATCTGAGGTCCTTGCAATGTCACATGAGGCAGTGACACAGCACCCAGTGCTCAAATTATGGTAAGAGATCCCAGTTGCCCTATCAGGCCAACCTGTGCCATTGCCATAAGGAGCTGTGTGGTGTCCTTGACCTCTTTGGGGTCTGACTTCTCTGGCTGGAGTAATATGCACAGTTGCAAAGGAAGCAAAACAGTTCCAGCAAATGTGTTTTATCCTGTTCTGACCCAAAACCATTCCAGCACAAAGAAATGGACAATGCTTTCATCATGTTACAGGTATTTATTTGTCAGTTCTGCTCCAAGCAATGTCTTTGGTTTGAAAGAAAGGACAGGTTCAGAGTCTGGCTTTGAAAGCATCTCCTGGATGGGTGATGAGGAATGCAGAGATGCCACCAGAGACCAGGCCTGTGGAGAGTGCAGAATGTATTTTTCACAGGAAAGATTCTCTAATTTACCCTTAGCATCCTCATAAATAGAAATTACGAGGAAATGCATCAAGGAAAGAAATAATCAGATTGAAAGGCTTTATAATAATTAGAAGAAAGGATGGTATCTTCTCAGGCTCTCCTGGGTGATGGTAATTACCAGCTGCACAACTGTGCAACTTAAAGATTTCTGGAGTAAAAAGCAAAATACCTCCTTGTATCTGTTCTTAGAGAAGCCACTCTTGGAAACAGGCAGCAACACAGGCCAACAGCTCAAAGAAGCCTGAATTGAGTCTCCTTCAGCATGGCAGGGCACCACTTTATGTGCAGGGTGGTCCAGAACCTGATCCCAAGCCATGGTTCAGTTGCATCTGGCCCAATGCATTTTTCTTATTGCCTTGGAGGAGGTGGGTACTATTTGTTATCCAGCCACTCAAACAACCAAACAAACCTCTCTGCCACAACTTCAGGCAGCCTTACACCCATCTGCTTCTGCAGCAAAGGGCAGGTCATAGCCCCTTCTGGTGCCAATGTTGTCACCAGCACAGCTGGGTGGCCTGGGGGTCAAAGCTGCATGCACTGTAACTCCAGAAGGCTAGGTAATGCCTTCCAGGGAATAAGTTTGGTTAATTCAGGAGAGCTTAAGAAAGTCCAGTTCCAAACTAGTAATGAACCAAAACAAAAACACAGCTCAGGGGAAATTTTAAAAATCCCTTCAAAAAAAAAAAA